CATATTGATTACTCATTATTTGTCGTTTCGGGTAATCAACTTCTTACTTGAATTATTACACTTGTCCCATGCTCCTAGCATGCACACAATGTTTACCTATGGTTCTTACTTTTGTGAAATAGACAAATTGAACATATTTCCAATCATTCTCACTTTACAACTTCAAATCCTTTTTCATAAGTGTAAGAATATCAAATTCTTGCTACTTATAGAATATGCTAGATTCTAACACTTTATGCAACGATCCTTTCGTAATGTCATTGCACTAAAGTCACAAAGACTATTGCCAATGATATTACAAAGTTCTCTATCGGAGATTGTTACAACACAATTCCTTAGATATGATGTCTCTCTCTCAAAGTACATTCCTTTGAACATCCTTTTGCATAAAAGTTTCTAATCTAGACATAGATTTTCAATATTTACTTCCTAATATGAACACGCTTCCATATTTTCCTCATGACAACTCATTCCTAATAGAATCTTTTCTATTTGTAATGATGTCGATATGGTCCATCCAATATGGAAACATTTCCATATTTTCCAATACTATACTTCCAACTACTCACAAGCGACCAATCCTCGTCGAAATTTGGATTGTCCTTTGATAGTTGTTTAATTATTTTAGTCAAAACCAATTCTAGTCCCTTTTCCCTCTAAATGCGCTAGACGTTTGGAAAATTTTAGAATGGTCAAACATTAAAGCATTTGCAATCGATCCTATACCCGAAGCGTATGGAACACGACGCATAATGTTTTATTTGCTATGTTCTCAAAATTCGAATTGTGAAGAGGAATGTCGTAATCATAATCGAAATTTTCAGAACACACTATCTACCTTTGACTAAATTTATCAACATTTCTCAACCTAATCCTTTAGATTTGAAATGAAGCATAATATTCTCTCCCTTAATTATAGCAAAACAACTTTACAACCCTTACGACTTTGCAAGGTATAACTCTTGTTTTTCTTTAATTAATATTGCCAACTTGCAATACTTTATATAATAATCATACAATCATAACTTTTATGCTCCCACTATCATGATGATTACTATAAAACATAACACGTATGCTCCCACTAGCTTCGACATGTATTCATAAACATCTTAACTTTCAGAAAGACAACACCTATTGAATTTCTTAAGTCCATGTTTCTAATACTTAGTGCTTTGATAATATTTTATCAAGGCTTCTTGAACTTATACACCTTTGCCTTTAGATAGTTCATATGCGTGTCTCAACAATTATGACTAATTGCCAAACCTCACAATTCAAATTATGGAAAGGGATACCGTAACCATGATCGAATTCGAGAATGCAATTTTACAATCACTATCTTCTTAAAATCTTTCTTAGTGAAAGCATTTCCTCACAATCATTTTCATGAAGGAGGAAATCTTATGACACTTAGATTTAAATGGTGTATTTGTTCCTATCCATGTGAATTTGTTAAAACCAAAGTTTACGACAAATTCAAACTCATATGGACCGAGCCTTTTTTTGCCTTATGGTAGTACAGCTGCCCACCACATCTTCCAAGTAGTTAAGCATCTCACCTTTTTCCTATCAATGTACCTTTCATTGATCAAGGTGCCTTGCCTTTTATGCATTCAAAATGAGAACTCAAAGAACTCACATGCATAATTAACTTAATTGGAATAGCACAGAAACAAAATAATGTCAACACGATAGGTTGTAAACCTCAACTCGTGTGCTAGTGATGATCAATAAGGTTTATTTGATTTGTTCTTGAAACCTTTCAAGACCATTAAGACTCCCACTGACTCCTTGACATATAAGATTCTCTTGTCAATAAACATTTGTTGACAACCAAATATTCAAGAGTTCGTGTAGCTTTTATCAAAACACTTCATAAATTGGTCCTAGTTGGTCTTTGTCTTATCCAAGAAATCACAAATTTCCACATTTGATGAATGTTATAAACCTTTAATACTTTTTACTCATTGTCACAATCTTAACTTTAAGACTTGTTATTGGAACGGAGTATGATAGACTTCTTGATTTAACCATTTCGTCAATCCTTGATTCCTCTTCTTAACATACAATTGTACTAAGACTTACTTAGAGGGTCAATTGAGACATGGTTCTTAATCATTAAGACCCATCATAAAGCATAAAAGCTACTCTCCATTCTTCTTAGAATGGAGAAACTTTTATCTTTCTGCCTACTTGATTCTTCTTATTCGTTTTACTATTGACCTAAACCCTTTAATCAATTTAGAATTACACTTAATCTTGTAAGTATAATCATATTTACTAAGCCTTTAGTAAATCATGACGAATATCTTTGTTACTCTTATGGTGAACTTGATCAACACACAACTTTGTGTACTCAATCTCCTAGTCCTTCACTTGACACTTTGTCAACGAATTTGTCTAATTTCCAAATATGAAATTTCTCATTCATTATGCAACCAAGTTGCGTGATTCCAAATTTCAGTCCAATTGAAATTTGGGCGATGAGAAACTCTCCCTATTTGGTAAATTCTCGACATTTCCATAAATAACATAACTAAGAATCATATCCATTCGTTGTAGAAATATGCAAACATCAATTTTCATAACTCTAGAAGGAATAAAACTTCTACCTTTATGCTTGGATTGTTTAGATTTTATTTTGTTTGCTTTTTGGTATTCTTCTTGTCCCAAGAGTTCCAATATTGTGCATGCTTTGTTTTGGATGTGATGGGTCCTAAGGCATTAAAATGAGGTACCTTGAGCTAGTTGGTCCCTTGTTCTTTGTATGAGGTCTTAATGAATTAAGACCATCTATTAAGCCCTTTTTAGACGACCAAAGTCTTAAATTTTGAGACTTTATGGTTCTAAAGTGCTTTTGAGTCTTAGATCTAAAGTTTGAGCTTGAGCACTTAATCCATTAAGCACTTATAAAGATTTTAAGACCTGTAAGGTTACGCCCCATGTAAGTTGATGTACACCCCAAATACTAAGTCAACCACCCCGATGGTGGTCAAGGCGAGGCGAAGTACACCCAGCGTACCAAAGGGGTACCCCTCATGTACGCCCTCTATTTAGGTTTCAGACTTTGGGATTTAGGTATTGGGCCATATGTTGGTTTTTGATACTTGGTCCCTAATGGACTATCTGGATAAGTGTGTTTTGGACCTTTGGCTAAGGCCCAAGAAGGGGTTGGGCCTAATTTTGAAAATTAGGCCAACCATGGGTAGTTAAGTAAATTGGGCCATTTGGATCAAAGATTTGGACTTGGGCCTTCGCCCATTTAGGGAAGGGGTAAAGTGGATATTTTCCCTAGGTATGGATCCTTAATCAAGAATGGTATCCCAATTGTTAATTGGGTGTTTGTTTACTGTGATAGTTCGAGATTTTTTGTAAGTCAGTAGTCAGGGATTTTAGTGTAGTTTGATATTTGATAGGTGAGTCTTCTTCACTATACTCTCAGGTAGAAGGCACCAAGGCCAGCCCTTTGGATTGTTATCCTGATAATCGTATAAGTAAGTGCTATAGTGATTTGTTAGATCTGAATCCTGGTAAATAGGATGTTGTTATACTTACTGATCTGTATGATCTATGTTTGACTTTTGATTGATTATATGTTTATGAGTATGTATATATCGACATGTGTGTGGTTGGGTTGAGGCAATCCTACTTTGTGTTGAAGGCCAACAGACCCTGGGCGGCCTGGATAGACTTAAGGATTGAGAGGAAGACCAGTCAGGCCGAAGGCCTGGAGAAAGGTCTAGATAGGTTGAAGGACCAGTGTGGTGGTCCAGACATGTTGAAGGTTCTGTATGCGTGTTGTTGTTGTGATATTTATGATTATGTATTGTGATGGTATTTAAGGGGAACTCACTAATCTTTGGGCTTACAAATTGGATTATGTTTTAGGTACATCAAAGGATCACGGGAAGGAGAAGGCGTGATCGTACACCTCCTCATTTTTTTATGATTTTAGGATTTCTCTGATGTGAAACTTATTTTGAAAACAATTTGTAAAAAATGATGATTTTGGGTTTGGTTAAAAAGTTTAAAATTTTCAAGAATTTTATGGATGTTACATTGTTGCTACTCCTGGTGGTGCTGTGGTGCAAGGGCCCACTGCACAGGCTGACTCACAGTTGATCGATGCAATTATTGAGGGTGTTTCTCACGACGATCCTCCACATTCTGATCTGGAGGGCGAGGCGTCAAGGGAGGCAGCGACCGGAGGGAGTCACTTAGCTATCAATCATCGGTTGTCTTGGTTAGAATCCCCACTTACCAAGGATGCCCATGACAGCACTATTAGTAGGCATCTTCATAAGAAGCATAACGTTGACTTCATGTTGGGGGAGTCGGACGTGGTGGTGGAAATTCCCGATGATAACACTTAGAAACAGTCATAGGGAATGGACGAAAAGGCGACTGAATAGCCTTGTGAACCTAAGAAGGATCCATAGGATACTACCATTCTTGGTAAGACACTACAGGCAAGGAGCCTGAGGTTGAGTTTCAAACCGCTTCTGAATTTACTTCACCTCCAGCGAAGGATAGTGTTATTGTAGGTTCCTCTTCTTCGCCCCTGACGGGCCCTAGAGATTATTTCCTAGAGTGGGGGCTCACTAGATATTCCCTTCTTACGTAACATTTTATTGCGTATGAGTGGAGCTATCATGCTTTCCCTCCGGCCATAGTCAAAGCTCTGGAGCTCCTCTCCAACTCTCACATGTCCAACAGTCTCTAGTATGTAGCGACTCAAGTTGCTCCTTATTTGGTGGCCACCACTCGATGCCTTCATTAGGTCAATTCATATTCAATGGAGCTTACCTCTGTTAGGGCCGAGCGGGATGAGCTCAGGGAAAGAGTGATGGGGCTGGAGGAGGAGAAATGCAAACTTGAATTGCGTTATGACCTTTTTGTTTATTGAGAAGGCATCTTTAGAGGAACCGATTGCAAGTTTGTATGGGTCAGTGGAGCATTTAGCAAAGAGAGCGGTAACTCCGGTAGGGTAGAAAGGATTGATGGAAGAGCAGGTGAAGCAGCAGGTTGGACAGTTGGCTGTTGAGGAATCCAGGTGGAAGACTGCAGAGCGGGGTATGGTGTGGCTACTAGGATTGTATTGTTCGAGTGGTTGATCGGTTCATTGAGAGTCTACAGTTCTTAACTAGGATCCAGCGTATGAAGACGACATGTGTCGCAAATGGTGTGGAGGAGGCTAGGCAGGTGGTGAAGGAACACGTAGCCTCCGGGAAATTCAATCTGAATGAGGCAAGTGCTATGGTGGAAATAACTCAGGCCATGCAAGCTTCTGGGAAGTCGTTCATGGAAACATATTTTTCCTCCTTCCTTCATTTGGGTGAGCTCGACTTGGAGTGCATTCGCCAGTTGTGTCGTGATCCTGACATCGAGGACAACCCACCTGAAAGTGATCCTCTCAAAGTTGGATCTTCCTTCAATACTCTTAGTAAGTAACCCTCCTTTCTTCCTATTTTATTTATATAGAAAAGTTTTTGAGCTTGTGCATTCTTGAGATGGTGTCTCCACGATGATATTTGCAATTGTTGTTTGTCCCAACGTGTTAGAACAAAGTTCTTTCAGGATCGTATGATTCTAAGCAAAATATTAATAAGAACGTAAATAAGAACACAAGTATTGCGATGAAGATGTCGAATGATTAATGCAAAATACCCCAGAAGAGCTCGATTAAGAACTTCAATCTGTAGAGATAAAATTAGGGTTACAAGAATTAACGTGAATGACTAATCTCTTATATACGCATACATGCATGCATATATTTATAATAAAACCCTAACAACTTATCTAGATAAAGGAAACTATTCTAGATAACTATCGATGGATAAGCCCAATCCGTTTACAAAACAAATAATCCAAGACGCAACACTTAAAATATTCAACACAACGCATACCTTTCGAATATGGGGTTGTCCGACAGGACAAGGTCCTTTTTCTTTTCGTAACATGGGCATTTATGTTTGTGAGGTATCATTGTTTCGATCCTCAATTGATTTATGTTGGACACTAGTGATCTTGCTTCCTTATCTTTCCTTGATGAGGCGATTTCCCCCAGGCTTCTGTTAGCCGTGGAGGGTCGACTCGAGACAGTTAGATCTTCCTTCTTGTTAGGCGGTTATGTTGTTTGGCGATTTGGTCGTGCTACTGGAATTGCCCAACTTATGACTCGAGGACCCATATTTTCTTAAAGTTCTTTGAATATGTCCCAAGAGCTCGTGTTGAGAGCTTGGATTTGATCCTTTGTTTAGATTGTAGTCAATTATTTCTAGATTGGGTCTTTATGTTCAGATTGCTTTGTTAGGATATCCCCTTTTAGCTAAAGCTTATTGATTACCCTTTTTTGATACTTTGTTCTAAGTCCTGGGCCTTGGGGAGTTGTATCCTGGACCTAACTATCTAAGTCAAGCCAAGATCGTCACCTCGATACGCTTAGGAATCAGTTACTATTTGTTTCAAGGGAAATGTTATGAGGCTTTGAAGCCTTTTTCCATTACATGGTGAAGATTCATGGCCTTTTGGGTTGAATTGACATGTTTAGGGAAAGGTTATGAGCCTTTGACACCCATGGTTGCATTCTTACAATTGTTTTGCTCAAATGATGTGGATGATCAGTCCGTGTTACCATTTGGTAAATGTGTACGACCTCTTTTGTGAGTGTTATCAAGCTTGAAGTAAAAAACGTTCTAATAGTTTTTTAGGGGTAGCCAACTTTTTAGAGATAACTACATTGTTTGATGAGTAAAGAAAAAGAGATTACTACATTATGGCATAGGCCAAGGCCTAACTCTTGGGCTAACATGTTGAGATGTGATTATCCATTCGGGGTTTGATCACATTGCCCAAGCTTCGTATGTGCCTTATATGAACCTTTCTCCTTGCTCTACGAGTGGTGTTGCGAATTACACAAACTTTAGGTCCAGATTATGACTCCCTCATCCTAAGCTTTTGGAATGCCAACTCCATCTTGGTGTGATTTTGTGGCCCTGCTCGCACGTTCTTTGGCGATGTTTAGCTGGATCTTGGGTCGTATGTAGTTAGACCCATCTTTTTCCAACATCCAGTTTTCTGTATCGGGGCTTTCCACTCGTATACACCATGTATGGTGATTTTTGGCTTTTCCCCTGTGTTTGGCCTGGCTGAGTCTAACGGTCGCATGTTTCCCGCTGAGCATATTCATGTTTGGACATTGCTTTGCCTTGTTGATAATTGCACCAAATTTTGATGCTCACAACGGTTCATATGTGATCCTAAGTGGCAGCATTACTTTTGCTCATTGTATCAGGTTAAGGGGTATTCCTTCGATGTCTGACCCTGAGGCCTGGCGATGGAGCTAAGACATTGTCGGTGGTTCTCTGACTCATGCTTTTTCGATCTGGCTACTTTTTTCATATCTAGTGAAATTTTTGGGTGTAACCAGGAGGAAACTAACTCTTCTTGGGGTGATAGGGGTGGCCCTATGATGTCGATACCCTATTGATTTGGTGACTGATGGTTGTTAATTAAAGTCCCGGTGTGTTGGCTTTGAGGAAGAATGAGCACCTAGTATTCTGGGTCTTCTCCAACAGTGATTTTCAGGGTTACGATTTCATCTTTGTGTATGATGGGTCGACATGCCCATGGGCTAGATATTCTTCCGACAGCGGCTGTTAAGACTTCTTGCTGCGAGCCACTTTTTTGGTTCTTTGCTTCTGGAAAGTATTTTTCTTTTCCTGGCTGCACTTTCTCTATTGGCATTCGCGCAATTTTAGCATTTGTCCTCTTGTTGTCTGTAGGGTCGCTTGGGGAAGACCAAACCTACACAATAAGTAATTTGGTGAATATTTAATTCGATTGGGGGTTTCCCTGGGATTGGTGATATATTTTGTGTTGGCAACTCTTCCCTATAGAGCTTCAGTCGATACTTCCTCGATTCCGTGATTGAAAGGTGCAAAGGGTGGCCTGTTCAAAATATCGGTATCTGGAACTTCCTCTGGGAGTCTGTTCGACTTTGGGATTCCTCCTAGATCGTGTCAATTCTTGCTTTGCATTTTGGTACCTTTGTCCCTTCTGATTTATAGCCCTACAGGTGGCGTTGACCCAGTTGGTGGCAGATAGAGACTCATCAGTGGTTGGAGAGAGTTCTACTCCAGATTATCGTTCCTGGTAGGGGGTTGTTCCAAGTCCTTCTTTGTCTTTCATTTTGTTCTCTATGAGGGGCTCTCGAATCTTGCTCAGGTTCAGAGTGATTTCTACTTGGTCATCCGAAGATTGGTCATTCCTTCCCTTTAGAATGAATTCGCTTGGACTTGGCATCATCTGCCTTCTCGTTGTGTCATGGGATAGAAATTCCTCATTCAAGTCAAGGTAATCGATGCGTTTTCATTGTGGCTTGTCGTGTTTTCTTGTTTCCATTTGGCTTGTAACCTCGCTAGGGGAATTCGCTTCCTGGGGGTGCTTACACCTACTGGCCTTACGGCTTCAGGTTTTGTTGTCTTGTTCTCCTTACCTGCTTTCCCCCCTCTTCGTTTATCGATTGGGGTTCGCACTAGCCCTAGGGGCAGCGAGGGCCTAAAGGTAATGGCGAGTGCATAGGCTAAACGAGACAATAGTGGCCAATCCATTGGTTGTGCTAAATTTCATGGTTTCGTGGATCGTCGATGGTATGGCTTGCAATTAGAAAAGCGTTGGCCGCCCGAGTAAGATCTCATAATCTGTCAGGGAGTGTATTATTGAAAATTTTATCGCACGTGTGACTCTGTCTCTTCCGTCATGATAGGTTATAATGAGAGGGAGATGTATCGTTCCTAGCGGCCATAGACTGTGTCTTGTAAACCCTGTAAGGGGACCCACGGTAGGAGGTATTAAGCTTTCCTTATAGAATATTGGTAGTTGTTGGAAACAATGCTTGTAACGGATGTTAGTACCGTTGTTGTTATCTATGTAGACACGGTTGATTTGTATCTGATGTATCTTGGTAGTTATCAAGAGTGGATCCTTGGGGTTCCATCCTAACATCCTCGAGTCCTCTGACAAAAAGCTAATATTGAGGATGTTTTTAAGGAGTACCTCGATGTAGACATCCATTTCACAACACCCACTTCTCTTTCAGAACCTCATGATGGTAAATATCTCCTCCTTAATTTAGCATTTGTTGACATTTTTTCGATCCCAGGTGTTCCTCAGTTCAGCGGAGAAGTTGGACCTCAATCCCTTTGAAATTGTTGTGAGGTCGCCCATTAGATGTTTTTCATCCATTTCTTTCCATAAAACTGTGCACTCTTCGGTATCATGGGTTTTGCTCTTTTTGTACCCACGGCATTTCCTTTTCTCTTTGTCCACCTTTGGAGGTGTTTTCTCGACTACATGCACCTCAGCCCAGTGGTTATGGGCTCGTCTTTGCCGAAAGGGTGGAATTTTCGAGGTGTGTGTCGGTTGTGATTATTGTGTTTGTCATGGATTATATCATCGTGATATTGGTGATTGGTGCTTGCGTAGGTGTTTACTTTTTTTTGCTTGATATACACATTTGTGACGGCCTTTTGGTTGGCTTCCTTCCGTTCCTCACCTTCTATCTGTAGGAGGTATTTCTCGACTCTATATTTGAGCTCGTCTCTTGACTGAGGTATTGTCCCCTGCATCTTCTTTGATAGAGGGTCAGCGAGTAAGCCATAGGCAAAGAAGCTAGCTACAAGGAACTCTTCATGACCCGGGACATTGAGTGTCGCCAATGCGAATCCATCGTAATATGTCGTATTGACTCTCCTTCTTTTTTATTGCATGCTATTATGGAGTTTGCATCTCCCTTCCTCATCACTAGTTGCATAGAATAGTTGAGGATAAGATATCTTAGCTATTCGAAACTCGTGATGATGCCTGGTCGCAGTGCCTTTAACCACTTTCTAGCATTTTTGGATATCATAACAGGGAAATACGTACACATAAACCTCTTGTCCATCCTCAATGATGTCATTGTCTACTCATATGTGTCGATATGCTCGTCGAGATGAGTTGTTTCATCATACTTGGGGACATTTGTTATCATCGTCAAGTGTGAGATCTCATACTGTAAGAGCTCCTAGAAAAAAGGTAGAACCGGTGCTTCTCACCGGATTTTCCATGCGAGAGTATGGGAAACCACTATATATTGTAAATTGTTGGGGAAAATGTGGGTTCCCGTATGCTTGATTGTTTATTGTCGCTTGCAAGATGTATGGTTGCTGCTAGGAGCTCGATTGTGTGCTTTGATGCAGTTATGGGCTTCGCCCTGGCTGCTGAGGCATGTTTGGAATTGACCCCTGTGGCTGTTGAGTGGAGGTGTTGAGTTGTTGTGTCGATGATAAGTGAGGATTAGACTTTTGCGACAACGGTGTTTGGTGGTTAGGTTTGTGCGATTGCGGGAAATATGGTTGAACATCATAGGTTGTTAAGAAAAAAGTGGGATATGCAACATTCCTGCTACA